AATGAAGAGCTTTCCTGTTGGAGAATCTGGCAACAAATTGCAGATGACTTAACCAGGTGTCAAGACCCCATGATAAATAATTTTCAGTTTCACAAACAAGTTGATTTCCCCTGCCAGGTAGGGGTAGGACTGTCTATTCAAATTTCTGAATATGACAACTATGTACTAAATCATAAAGCAGATGGTCCCAATGATACTGGAAATTCAGAGTTTCTGACTTTGAGAAGCCAGGATTCTTTGAGGAAAACTTTCCTGACTGAGTCACAGAATTATCAGAATAGATATCAGCAAATTCCCATGAAAAGTAAACTGTGTCAGTGTAAACAGGGTATTGACCCCATCAGTTGGGTTTCGCGTCACCATGATGATTATAGAGCACACAAAAGTGAAAAATCTCATAGATCTGATGATTATGGAAGAGACAACGTGAAGATTTTGACATTTGATCAGAATGGCATGATTCACACAGGACAGGAACCTTACCAGTGTAACAAGTGTGAAAAAACCTTTGGTGATCTTTCCAGCTTTGATCTTCAACAGCAATTACAATCAGGGGAGAAGTCTCTTACATGTGTCAAGTGTGGAAAAGGCTTCCATTATAGCTCAGTTCATCCTGTTCGGAGAGTTCACGTGGGAGAAAAACTTAAGTGTGTTGAGGGTGGTAGGGAATTCAATCAGGACTCACATCTACAAAACCATCAGAAAGTCCGTATGATCGAGAAACCATACAAATGTAATCAATGTGGGAAAGGTTTCAGTCGTAGATCAGCACTTAATGTTCATTGTAAGGTCCACACAGGAGAGAAACCTTATAATTGTGAAGAGTGTGGGAGGGCCTTCAGTCAGGCCTCTCATCTTCAGGACCATCAGAGACTCCACACTGGGGAGAAACCATTCAAATGTGATGCGTGTGGTAAGAGCTTCAGTCGGAATTCACATCTTCAATCCCATCAGAGAGTTCATACGGGAGAGAAGCCATACATATGTGAGGAGTGTGGGAAGGGCTTCATTTGTAGCTCCAATCTCTACATTCATCAGAGGGTCCACACAGGAGAAAAACCCTATAAATGTGAGGAATGTGGTAAAGGCTTTAGTCGGCCTTCAAGTCTTCAGGCCCATCAGGGAGTCCACACTGGAGAGAAATCATATATATGTACTGTGTGTGGGAAAGGCTTTACTCTGAGTTCAAATCTTCAAGCCCATCAGAGAGTGCACACTGGAGAGAAACCATACAAATGTGAGGAGTGTGGGAAGAGCTTCAGGAGGAACTCCCATTATCAAGTTCATCTAGTGGTCCACACAGGAGAGAAACCCTATAAATGTGAGGTGTGTGGGAAGGGCTTCAGTCAAAGTTCATATCTTCAGATCCATCAGAAGGCCCACAGTATAGAGAAACCTTACAAGTGTGAGGAGTGTGGGCAGGGCTTTAATCAGAGTTCACGACTTCAAATTCACCAGCTGATCCATACCGGCGAGAAACCATACAAATGTGAAGAGTGTGGAAAGGGATTCAGTCGTAGAGCAGATCTTAAAATTCATTGTAGAATCCACACGGGAGAGAAACCATATAATTGTGAGGAGTGTGGGAAGGTCTTCAGGCAGGCCTCAAATCTTTTGGCCCATCAGAGAGTCCACAGTGGAGAAAAACCATTCAAATGTGAAGAGTGTGGAAAGAGCTTTGGTAGGAGTGCACACCTTCAAGCCCATCAAAAAGTCCACACTGGAGAAAAGCCGTACAAATGTGAGGAGTGTGGGAAGGGCTTCAAGTGGAGCCTGAATCTTGATATGCATCAGAGGGTGCACACAGGGGAGAAACCATATAAGTGTGGGGAGTGTGGTAAGTACTTCAGTCAGGCCTCAAGTCTTCAGCTTCATCAGAGTGTCCACACTGGAGAGAAACCGTACAAATGTGATGTGTGTGGTAAAGTCTTCAGTCGGTCTTCACAGCTACAGTCTCATCAGAGGGTTCACACAGGAGAGAAACCTTACAGATGTGAGCTATGTGGTAAGAGCTTCAGTTGGCGATCAAATCTTACAATTCATCACAGGATCCATGTTGGTGATAAATCTTATAAAAGTAATAGAGGTGGTAAGAATGTCAGGGAGGGTACACGGGAAAAAAATTCTATAAAATGATTTTTTTGAAGGCTCAAGTGTCATGTCAATTTTTCCGATCAAGTCTCAAAAGAAGAAAAAATAATTTGTTCCAATTAAGTCAGTGTTTCAGCCATAACTCCTCATGTCCCAGTGGTCCAGAGACCACACAACAGAGAACGCTTGTAATTCGTACACTAAAGGCTTCAGTCACAACCTTCACCTTTATAAAATGCTAC